GTTGGCCTGTCAGTCGCGCCGCGCGCGCACCATATCTGCGCGGCGCACAAATTGCCACGCGTTTAATTACCGTCCAATATCCAGCGGGTGGTCATTAATCACCCCCTCGATAACCCGTAATTTTCCGTCGACGATAAAATCTGTCGCGCGACGAACGTTCACTCGGGCTCGCGACTTCTTTGCATCGCTCGGAGACCGTATCGAGGAAACGCGCTTCGTGGGGAAGAGAAAGAGACGGAGAATAGGATGAGGTCCAGAGAGTAAACGGCGAAGGGAGACGGAACGATGAGAGAAAAGAAACAGAATGAGAAAAATGGCGTGCTTCTGTAACCCGTTCCGCGGAAAAGTGTGTGCGTGGCGAACGAGTCCTGCGGCGTGCAGCTCGTGGGCTTGATATACGTTGTCAGTCTCCTAGACGAGCCGCCGGCCGGTGCCGCGGATAGGCCTAATGGTTAACGAGCGCTCGTTCGCCGAGACAGATCGTCGACCTTCGATCGCCAGCCGACTCGATCCCCCCTGACTCTTTTTGCGGACCTCGCCCCTCGCGGGAAGATACGCTCCGACGGTCGCTACTCCGCTACCTCGTAGCCTATATAGATACCAAGCATCGGCTTCCCTTCGGTAGCCCGTCTGGTTTTTTGGTAGCAGTTCGCCAGAGTCCTACCGCCACCGCGGCGAGCCTGTCTGCCCTAAGGCCGCTCTTCCTTTCCGAAGCAGGAACGCCGGATGGACGACCGGTAGCGACAGAGGCGAGTCGCGTTTGTGTTACGACGCGTGTCCAACTACATTCTTACGTAAAGATTATTCGACTTCTTTCTTTCATTTTTTCAGTTGTATCTGTTTTATTTTCATAAGTAAAAAGAATGATGGACAACGTGTTGAATAAAAAAATAGTATTAAAAAGAACGATCGCGATTATCTTACGTTTATATTAAGATTGCGTTATCAAATTTTATATTTTGATTACAAGTTATATAAATTGATAATCAATCATAGTTTTGAACATGTACAAAGTATATATATTTCTAAAATTCTTAAATAGATTTTGTAATTTAAATAGAGACTTTATCTAAAAAAATATTATAACAAAAAATATCTATATCTTGAGGAAATAGAAGACTTGTACGAAATTGATTATCTGTCATTCTCAAAAAAATAACGCGAAAACTCGCACGCTACTTATACCCATCGCTACTGTGGTGCAGCGGCCAGTATATGGACAGATCGTACGGGAGAAAAAGATCAAGCGCTGCACCCACGCCCATGTCTCAACCTGTTCTGTTTCTCCCGTCGAGCCACAGTTACAGGTGCCTGCCCGAAGGCATTCCTGCTGGAATTCTTCAATGATTCTCAGTGAATCTTCTGCTCTCCTGTGCAAATTCGTATCCTCAAATCATTACATGTGTATCAAACCATGGATACAATATCTCTCCTGTTTTTTTCAATACGTATATCTTGCTCAAACACATTTACTTTTTTTCATAAAGTAAAAACCTCACTACGCGTTAATTAAAATATCACAATTTTGTTCTATTTTCTTTTTTTTTTTTACTTATTTTTTAATTTTGGTTTTATTTAAAAATTTTTGAATCGTAGCCGTCTTGTTTAAAATATCCCAGCGAAATTCTTGAAAGGTACTCCTTAACCAAATGGAAAGGGAAGAAAATGGAAGCAGGATGTGGTGGGAAGATAGCGAGTGAGTGCGCCCACGCTGCTCTCTTCGGGGACCTGTTCTCAACTTTACGTTCTGACATCTTTTCACTACGTTTATGAGTCTCCTTTACGTTTTACGACCGATCAGCGAGGCCCTTTCTCTTCGCGAATGAAGGCGGGGACGAGTGTGCGGCGGCGTCGAAAGGACTAAAAGGATAGCCACTGTAGAAAGAAACACCGACGACCGCCAAACAAGACTCGGATCTTTTATCGAAGCTTCATGGAACAGACAGTTCAGTTCTAAACGACTTATACGTTTCTTTTTGATTGATGCGGTTTTGTAATCAAACAACCGCTCAAGTATGCGTCTAGGCATTGAATAGGCAGGATAAATGTAACTTTTGTTAAGAGGACATCTAACCAAACACTTGATCCAAGAGTCTCCCGCAACGAATGTGCGGTTTCTTTTGCGCGTTTCTTTGACACACTACGTGTCCCACAAATGTGTCACAATTCTAGCTAATAAAAACAATCAATAATCAGGATGTTAATATTCATTCTGCCTCTTTAAAAGAACAGCATAACAAGACTTTCGAACGCATAAAGCAGTTTTTTGTGCGCGTTTCTATCAAAGGCGCGATTTATATCAAAAGCGCGACAGCGACGAGTCCTTATTCTAGAATCCTAGGAGTGCTCCGGTGACGTAAAGTTGAAGGACGCGCGTAGACTGGAATAAATCGCCTTCAATCGCATTAAGTCGCTTAAGAGGCATCATTTAAGCAGCTATCAGCGTCCGTCGCTCATCGCTGCGTTGAGTCCGTGCCCAAGAATTCGCAGGTTTCTCCATGAACGGATTTCTCGGTATTCATCGGAGGTAAGCGGGGCCGCCGGCCGCGAAGATCGGTCTCGAAATGGCGCACTACGCACGTACGCGTCGGTATGCAGCACGCTGGAGCCGCTGGAAAACCGTTCGACGACTCTCCGGCGGCTCCGCGACTCGACGTCCCGCGCTTTTCCAGGAAGCCAAGTAGAATCTCTATTCTATGACCGTGGTGTGCTATTAAGACTTGAAGGCGGACTTGCAATCGAGATTATGCACGTACGCGTGGCGCCTATCGTCGCATCGAGTCATTGACTGCACCGGTAGAGAAACATTGTAATTTTTCGTGTTGATTTTTCGCATTGATTGATATCAAAAAGCAGCACGCTAAAAACTTTATATTAACTTCTTTTACTTCTCTTTGCTTTATTTAATAATTATTTTTAGAAAATTAATGATTCACATTCCTCATTTTACTTGATACGTCTTGGAACTCAAAATTCTTGGCAAAGATAAATCCTAAAGTTCAAATAATGTGTAATTAATCTCAACGTGAAGCCCGAATAATGTCGCAACGCAGAGAATTAATTACATCACGCTTGATCTTTAGTATATTGCTGACTTTTCATTCATAAAAGACCGCAGATAAGAATAACTTATAATGGAGTCTTTCGAGATAAGATTAAAACGCTAACACAACCAACGGAAATTCGCCCACGCTGTTAAAAAAAAATCCCGGATTAAATACTAGTCATCGATTGTCTGGTGATTCATGCGTTTATGCTTGTTCGCGATTTAAATTTCAAATATTCAGCGAATATACCTCTCGAGTTACATCGCGTGGCCTTATGACAAAGTGCCGTTGTCACGTTGAACATGACGAACAGTCTGGTCCATTGGTAGAAATGCGAAAAAAAAAATCCCACGATGTACTGTTTCTTGCCCATCGTTTCGTGGGAACCGGGGCATCGCCGAAACTTCAATATTTATCCTATCAATGGAAAATACTGGCAGCGCATATTACTATTTGCGTGTTACTTCTTTATTATAAATTTCAGGAAACACAGTAGCGTCTTAATGAATAATCAAATTAATTAGCTCATTGATGAATCTCTGCCGTTTTTAATAAATTCGTCGGTAAAGACGTTATCGGAGACTTAATAGTATCAATAATTGCTGATGTCACTTTTACAAAGTTAAGTTCTTTTTTTTATCGAGAACGTTGGAGAAAAAATGTTCCGTTAGTTGTGAAACGGCCGAAACGGAGCTGCGTTGCGATAATCAGCTCGGCGTCGAGTGCGATCTCGCCGAGAAGCGATCGTCTATCAATTCTTAATGGCGGTCACAGCGCTAATGACAAATGACCGACCGATATCACGGCGCAAAAACGTGACAAATATTCTAATCGCGTCTCGTTACGACGACTCGGCGCTTTTTCATCGTCTCCCCCCCCCCGTGCTTCGTCCCTTCCAGGAAGCCTCCGTTACCTCGACCGTTCGTTCCCAGACGTGTCTCGCGCGGCATACACCTGTTGGTTCGGTACGTCGATACCTGTTTTTTTTTTTTAGAATTGAGAGATGGCAAGAATTCTACACTTATACAGATGTTTCATCGCTTTCACGAATAACGCAACACGTTTCAGACGTCTTGGCAGTCACGAGACTTTTATAAGAAATTTTTAGGCTCTTTTATTTTTGTTAAATTTCTCTTCAAAGATATTATTTTATTGTATATAAAGATAACATATTATTTTATCGTGTATAAAACTTCTGTCTCTAAATTCACATAATTTCATAGATAAAAATTTTCCATCATAAATAATATAATAAATTCTACGTTTTATTATGACAGTTTTGAATTTTTATTTCTTGTTAATCTTATTAATTAATAACTCGTTGCACTTATGGTAATGTGAACATGCAGTTTGCTTTGGAAATTTATTTACTATGATCAGTAATAAATATCTGCTGTACGCAGTGATTATATTGAGCGCGATTACCAAATTTTATTTTTCCATAACGTCGCGATATTATTAATCGCGCTACAGCTAATTCTAAATAACATCATATATCATTACGTAGTCGTAGTTTATTAGCACCTGCGAACCTCAATCTCGCCTACATAAGTGTCACTACGATACGTCAACTCAATTACTATCATTAGCAATTTAGCGTTATTCACAACAACACTACGAAGAAAATACCATCTAATCCAGTGGCGCTGGAATTTACAGTAACGTATAATCGGGAGTTATTTCGCGAAAATTAATTTGCGACCAAATTACATATCTTGCGAAACTTAAAACCGACCTACATACTTTGAACAATTTCCAACGTGAAATTTAAGAATTAGATCTCAAAATAAGCATAATGCATTTTATATTAGCATAATATATTTTAGAGCAGTAAAAAGGTGCGATTTGATCATTTCTTAAGATAACGCAGCAATGAGGCCGAATTTAACATAAACATCAAGGCAGCTTATGCGAGCATCGAATAACCACATCGTCGTCGTTCGATTGTTTCAGGACGAGGTGGGAGGTAGTACGGTGGTAGCCGAGGGTGTCGTAGGTGGCATAAGGGGCCCAGGCGGCGGGTGCCGCGCATCCTCGATGACGATGGCCGAGAGCGCCGTGGAGGACGCCGCAGCCGCGCCCCCGGGCCCGGCCAAGCCGCCACCGCCCTCCTGTACAAACAACAACACCCTCGCGGCGACGGCCAACCGCAATCATCGGAATCCCCGCAAGAAACGGAGACGGCTGGAGCAAGTTGTGGACACGCTGCAGGCCCACCGAAGCTCACCGTCCGAAGGCGAGGTACTGAGATTCGAAGGCAGCGGTCCCGTATCCGAGGAAGAGGACGTGTTCGGCTCGCCCAGATCATCATCCTCGCGGTCCGCCGTTGACACCACGCCGATCGTCGGTCAGCTTCCGCTGAGGTTAAAAGACGCGGAATCGGTGACCTCGTCGACCGAGGAGGATCTCAACGAGATCGGCCAGCAGCATCACCATCATCCCCATCGACCGTATCGCTACTCGTATCATCACCATCATCACCACCGACATCGCTACTCGCCGTACCAGAACAACCATCGACTTTCGGCGCCGAAGTGTATGTGCAGTCAGTGCTCGCAGTCGCTGGCTGCGTCGGCGGTGACGGCAGCAGCGATGATGCTGCCGTCGGCGACGTCGTTGCAGACGCCGCTCTCACGGACCAGCTTCTCGCCGTACAGTAGTCTGTGCAGCACGTACAGCAACGTGTTCGAGCAGATCGAGTACATACACAAGAAGTACCTGCCGCCGACGTCGAGCGACATCCTGCGCGGACGCAGCCACTCCGACTCGGACGTCGTGCCCAGGTGGGACGAAGCGTGGACGATACCTGCCTCGACCTCGTCCTCCTGCTCCTCCTCCATCGTCAATCATCCGCCGCGAAGCGGCTCCCTCGAGAGCGACGGCACGAGTCCGCAGGAATCGCCGCTCGATCTCTCCATGAAGAACCTGATGCTGCAGTCCGCCGCAGCGGCCGCCGCAACGGCCTCCTCCCGGTCCATGGCTTTGCAGCTCTTGCCGCCCGGCATGGTGACGCGAGGCTCCGTCAGCGTGCCCGTGGTGCGAGGCGACGTCGCGTCGCCCACTACGAAGGAAAGCGTCGCGGTGCGATACAACCTGGAAGTGATGCCCGTCGTAGAGGAGATGGCGCCGGGCACGGATGTGGCTTACGTTTGTCCGGAGTGCGGGCAAATGTTTAGTTTGCACGATCGTCTGGCGAAGCACATGGCGTCCAGGCACCGTCGGCAAGGCCTCAACGACGCCTCGGCGAAGGCGTACCTCTGCGACGTGTGTCAGAGGAGCTTCGCCAGGTCGGATATGCTAACCAGGCACATGAGACTGCACACCGGCGTTAAACCGTACACGTGTCGAATTTGCCGGCAAGTTTTCAGCCGATCCGACCACCTCAGCACGCACCAGCGCACTCACACCGGCGAGAAGCCGTACAAATGCCCGCAGTGCGCCTACGCGGCCTGCCGTCGAGACATGATCACCAGGCATCTGAAAACTCACAATCGGTGCGCAGATGGACCCATCCCGAAGATCGAGCCCGGTCTACTCGCCGGCGAGGAGTGTCCTACCTTCGGCCAGAACGTGTCATCGGCACCCGCGGCGGCACCGTCGGCGGTCATCAAAGCCGAATGACGACGGCCGGTCGGATGACCCTGGCTGCACTCTGGCTCCAGATCCCAGCGAGGACATCGTGGCAGAATTGATCGAGGATCTCCGGGAAGCTTGGCGGGCCGATTAGGGCTCCGCGGATACGCCTCGATGGAACGGAGTCGTCGCTCAGCCAGTTTCGCGGCATCGGTCGAACGTTAGAAAGGGATCGATATTCGAAGAGATCGCGATCTGGTAGAACGGATCGGTGGCAGGGAGGATTTGTTTCGCTATTGGAATTTGATCTCCCCGGGGAGTTCCGACGGACGCTAACAGAGTCTGTGATCGAAGTTGAAATTTTTGAAACGGCTCCTTCGGAAGAGATTGCAGCTAGACGCGTTGATTTTACGCTTCCGCCGTGTTTAAGCTTTTTTATGCGGAAGAATAGATTGCGTATTGATAAATTCGAAGGATTTGTTGATATGGTTTATGAAAATTTCACGGTTGCTGATTATTTATTAAAAGATATATATAAATATTCTTTTGACGTTTAGTCACAAATATAATATGCGCATAACATTGGCAATCCAAAGGTGACTTCACCGAAGTAAAGTAACGAATTATCGCAATCTTGTCGTGTTTCCAGACTAAAATCTTCTCTCATGTGCCCTTCTCAACGAAAGAATTAAATTCGCGGACCGGAAACATCATGGAGAGCTGATGAATTGAAGCTTTGCTTCCGTGAGTATTATATTGTATTATTTATCGAGAAATAAATAACTTTTCGCCTGACAGTCCGCCGCGGATTGCCTAGATATCATCATCCCTTCATGCCTCGATCGCGCGTGTCAATGCGAACAATGCCGAACAGTATTATCGCACCTCTTTGACCCCCGCTTCCGTCTAATTTTTCTCCCGCGAAGTCGCGTTCCAACATTCGTAAACGCTTCATCGCGGCACTGATCGCGATTACAATTTCGGCCGGAGAACAGTCCGACAACAATGCGATTCAAATACGCGTTCTGTATTGACGAGAGAATCATTTGCATTCGTTGAAGAGTTTATTTCAAATAAATTATTCACTTATCAACAAGCTTATTCTTATAGCAATTTATTTTAATAAAATATTGATGTTAACTCGTTTAGAAAGTTTCTTGAAATTGCATTTTATTTTTTAAGATCGTAAACTCACTCCGCTATATCGATAGTTGTCTCGGATGTTCTTTGATTATTATTGTTATGAGAAAGATGTGTCACCTAGCCGGTTGCTCTCTTTGTACATCTTTCGCTCTCTCGTTCTCGATGCGTAAAATTAAGGCACACAAGCTAAAAGTGAAGCATTCCTGCTCGACCGCGCAAATACAGCGCGGCGCACGAAGATATATGGGAAGCGGTGCTTAAAGGCTCGGCGTCGAAGTCGAATCGTGTTTTTACCGTGTTCGTAAGACGACCACGTATCCAATAATATCGTATGTACATATTTGATCATATCGCGCGTTGTTTCTTCGCGAAAGAGAATCTTCCTAATATTTAACGTTAACTGTAAAAAAAAATAAAACTGAAACGCAGCCCATTAGCGACGCGAATACACGTGCCAAATTCTTCAGACAAACATTTCGGACACGCGATAAGTACACGTGTCAATCTCAGCAAACTGCACATTGAGGTCTAATAAAATTCGTAATTTTGATATATTTTTATTTCCATTTTTTCTATTTTTTATATAAATTCTTCAGCTAAAAATGCATCGGGATGCAAAGTATTGCTTGCGAATTACTCAATATAGCTAAGAAATGGCACCGATTCAATCGTGTCATAGCGAAAGATATAGAGAACATCTATATTAGGCTCCGGTGTGCAGTTCTTAAGTTATACTGTTTAGAACATATCCGTCGGTCGAGCTCGATTTGCGAAACGGAGAAAAATTATTGGTGACAAGATAGTGAGAGTAATCTCACAAATAATCTCAATGTAGGGGATATCGATTATTTAAGACTAGACGAGACGAGAATCACTTCTTTCGTCGAGCTTATTTATCACCAATATTTTTCTGAACGTGTTCCATATCTGTAAATAGCGAGTCGCCATTTGTATCCTCGTCGGTTCGCCCGAAACCTGCTCAAATTGTTGTTATTTGAGAAATTGTTAAGACAATTTTCTAGGTAAGTCGAAGGAACTTGCAAAGCAGTGATGTATTAATAGTTATATAAATGTACCGCGGTCGCGTCCTCTCGCGATGGACATTTTGTTAGTGCGGCTATCGAAAAATTGAACGACTGCGAGATAGTGTGAAAAAGAAAGAAGCGTATCCGTACCTGCAGAGATAGAAAAAAAAAACTCAACGTTATAAAGCATAATAAATCGTATAGAGGTAACGTTAATTAGTGAGTAATATTATTGACACTATTATTACGTTCTAATATTGTAAAGATTGTGGTTATTCGCGCCGCCGCACGCCGGTAGGGAAATAAAATATTTTTTTATACGTACACTCGAAGTTATGACTTTGCTTCGAAAGGTGTCGAATGTATGTGAAGCTCAGTTTGGAAGTTGTTCGTACCTCGAAATGCTAATGAAGCGGCATCGGTTGATTATCGAGGATCGAACGCTCAAATTGACGCGATCGATACGGTCTCTTCGAGTTTTTTTAGCGTTTTCCTATGGAAACTAAGTGTATGCGAACAGCGACCGTTGCGGCGTGATTAATCGGAACGGGTTGTGGTGCTTAAGCGTAAAAGGGCGAATCCGACAGATATCTTTGCGCTGTGAATCGACAAAGACAATCTTAAAATATATACTCGAGCCATGATCTCCGCGCAGATAAAATCGCCGGGCCGAGTGAATGGCGAATTGAACACGTTAATGTCGCTCTAACAGGGTCACCGAGTACGCGAAATGTATCTACATTACGGTGCACATTTTACTAATGTTTCCACCGCAATTTTTATCGCAGAAGTAAAGTTAGGATACAAATAAAATAAGTAAAAACGTATAAAGACTAAAAAAAGAAAAATGATAAAAGTCGAGAATTAGTGAATAAGGAAAAATTTAAGAGGAGCACGTTAATGATACGAAATTTTATTTTGCCGTATATTAATATATTAGCACAAATGTATGATGGAGGAATCATTGTTTCTCCATCATACATTAATACTGTCGATCGAACGAAATATCCATTAGGTATACCATTCGCTCGGCTTTGCGAAAAAATTCGTCCTTCGTTTCGGAAACGTCAATTCCATGTAGCTTTACGATAGTTGTATGGTGACTCGCTGAGCAGCACGCGCCGACATAATACTCGAGCTTACTTCGCCTCGACCGTTTCGTCCTTAATCCTTACATTATACATGTATGTATGTATACTCATGTACTTCTCCCGATGTGTCTCCTATTCCTCTCGTCGCAAAAAAGGAAAAAGTATCAGTGCCGATAATCTCGTGGCACGCGCAACGCGGCGCATAGGTACGTATATCTGTATTTTTGTATATCGAGGTTTTTTCTAATTACCTTACATATCGATTAAGCGTTTCTAGAGGAATGGGACGAGTAAGTAGCTATTAAGGAGAAAGTATTGTCGCTCTCTGCTTGCCATTTTACTTGCCCCCTCGATCGAACGATTGCTTGGAAGGTGTTTGTCGTACAGTGCGACGCACGAGGGAGGACGTCGAATCGGGGGACATTCGTTCTGCCCTTTAATTGATAATACTCGAACGATCTTTATCCTTTGCTAATTGCTGATGCTTTCCTGAAGAAGCAGTGTCATAAAGCGATCGATTGTAACTGGCGCAAACGGCGCACAATTAATATTTGACATCTTTAATCATTATTATTGCATTAAACTGTTACGTGTTTTAAGCTGATAAATTATAATGTTTATTTCATAGGTGGAAAGCTGAAAATATTTTTTTTACATCGCAATACACTGATTTTGTTATCAATTTATTTTCTATTAACATCGATAATCTAAAAATTGTTTTGTTTCTAATGTTTTAAAAATTCTTTTTTTTAGCAAGTGAAACGATAATTGTTTCCAATTATTTTTTTAATTTAATTAATACTCATGAGTTAATGAATGGATTCACATATTCATTAGAAAAATTACTCAAGTATATTCCAGGATCACAAAGCGGAAAGCACTTGCATATTTAAGTCGTGCGATTAATTGAAGTGCCATCCAACTTTTGAGTTGTTGCTTAATTCTCAAATGCGTTTTTTATTTTTTATTTTATTTTATTTTTTTCAATTCTTCTACAGCATAATTATTAAAGCGTGAGTATCGAGACCTCTGACTTGACGTTATCCCTTGCACCGATTCAGCCTTAAACTGACAGAATCTCTTGCGTAAGAAATGTAGTAACTTAAGTAAGGAAAGACATGAGAAAGGAATAAACACGTTCGACGTGTCTTCGGGCAGTTAAGCGATCGCCATGCCAGACCTGTTCTTGTAATTATTAACAAGTATAGCCATTTTCATATAATAATTATTTCTATTATTAATATTATTAATATTATTAATTATTATTAATATTATTATTATCTCTAGTTACGTTGTTAAGTGATTAATCATGTTTAATGCTTCTATTATTTATTTTGTTATCCCGTTCATGAGTCAAGCTTTCTCTTTCCCCATCTGTTCTTTCTTCGCTTTCTCCCTTCCTCTTTTCGTCTTTATTCTATTGATTCTTCATTTTACTCATCTCCCATTTTACCCATTTATTCCTTACCGTCACTCTGCCAGCAAACTGAAAGAGGAAGGAAGAGAGAGAGAGAGAGAGAGAGAGAGAAAGAGAGAGAGAGAGAAAATTCAATTTCACTCGTTAATTTAAACTTACGTCAAATCGAAAAAAAAAACAGTTTATTACAATATGTATGCAATGTATGTATGTTTCTCATACTCTGGACGAGACCAAAAATATTCCGAATCTCAAGCTCATCTCCCCTTCCTCTGTTTTACAAAACAAGCTATTTTGGCACCAAAAAGGCTTGTCTCCGATGAGGTTTTGATCTCCGATTCCCAAGCGAAAGCATATTATCTTTTGTAATGGTGAAACGCTCACGAGAATTGTGTAAATTATTGATGATGATTGTGTACGTTAATTTATAAATTATGTTGTGTTTACGATTCGTGCCAGAATGGAAAAAAATAATAATTTTTCAACGAATCAGCTTCGTACTTTGTCATTTTCACCCGTATGTTTCCCATTATGTTTTGTTACCATTCCTATTATCTTCTTTTAATATAATTTATCTTTGAATATAAACGATTAACTATTAAGTAAAAGGAATATATGACAGAGAGCTAGTAATATAATCTAATTTCAATTTAGTAGAAAACGAATAATTAAAGAAGATAATTAATAATTAAAGATTCGTAAAATTTTTTATTTGTCTTCGATCCACAGTTCGAAAAATTAGATTTTCTAAAGCCATTATCTTATAATGTATAATTTTCTTGCTAATTGTGTTGGAAAGTATTTGGTGCCTTGCAACGTCGAGAATTCATATCTAGATTAAATAGATAAATCAGCATAACAATGTGAAGATATATCTACCATATCATTTTAAGGCTGAAGTATTTGATAATTAGGAGCGGGATCCGAGCGAATTATTTTTCCATAGAATTTTCGAATAAGAGATAACTCTTTTCGATCTATAGGTAATTAAGAACTCGTAATCTCTGTCTACACACCGGCGGACTGTGTTGTGCAAGACAATCGTGATTGTTATCTAAATGGAAAGATACCTAGTATCGAGTGTATAAATGCAATTAAACCGTCAAACGTTATTGCTACTTCATTTGTACAACTTATCACGTGCACAGAACCACTTGCAGAAAGTTTGATTAAGCGATAACTATTCCCGTTTAGATTGTTAAAGAGTTGATCAAAGAAATTTTTACGCGATACTTTGTGTTTATCTATATAATGCACAACACTAGTTGCAACATTTTTTTGCAGTACTGTAAATATTTCCAAGGCCTTTAACAAAGGCATACATTCGTTTAATCACGATGTCATCTCTTTGTATCCTTTTATACTATCGCAAATTTATAATCCATATCTGTACATCGAAATGAGGACAAGAACTTGTAAGTTGCTGCACGTCTGGAAATATAGATATACACGTTACTTGTTCCTTCTAAAGGATCTCTATAATTGTTCGCTGTATATATTTTTTCAATCCTATCACACGTAACCGTACTTTCTTCTTATTAAAAGCTGTAATTAAAAATACATTTTTACTAAAATTTTAAGACAAATGCAACAGTATTAAACGAATTGTTGCAAAAAGTATTAAACAGTTTATGATTTGTCCGTATAATATTATGCATCGTTACATAGTACGTTGCATTTGGATACATTTATTAATAGTTAAAATTAATGTGCAGCAAAAGTGCTCCGCTGAGAACATCGCAAAAAAGAAAATAGAAACGTCACCGTCTCAGAAGCAACATCGATAACCCGACCTGACCCAGCTGCTTAACAAATTCGCAAATAGTATGTACGCATCTTCCGCATTGGTTAATGCAAAAACAACGAAGGGGATCAATGTCATTATTTTTTCACGCAAAGTTTCCATTACGATATATTCATATTTCTAAGACCTATATTTAACTGTTGAACGTAGAATTTAATCTAGAACAGTTTCTCACTAAATTATTGCAATTGTATCAAAAAATAGAATCCTATTCAATATATATATTTTTCCATGCAGTTTCTAAAGCAAGTTATATATTAACAGTGTTAAGTTATATAAAATAATATTTTAATAGTGCATGTCTATATTGTATACGTATCACAATACATGCGTTGAATTATATTAAAGTACGATATAATATTTAATAATAACACATTTATACACTTTAAAAAACTAATAATCAAAATTAAAAATTCTTTCTCGGTTTTAGGTAAGTCTTTATTCAGAGAACGCACTTTGATAATCAATGTTTATGTAACGCGCCGAGCAAAATTCCAGCTACACGCATTATACGCGTATTATGCGTTTGTTGGACGTCCGTACAACGCGCCGCGGCCGTATCCTTTTCGGCGCGATCGATATCCCGGATAAGCGGTAATGGAATAATCGACGTTTCGTGTAAGGGATATTCGGATAATCGGCTTGCCGAAGCGCTATCTCCATAATAATATCCGTTGACATAGTTTTTCAAATACACAAACTCGCCGGCCGCCGTTGATGAACGCGCCATAATAAACGTCAGCGGCGGCAACGTGGACGAAAAAGCGTCACAATTAGATTAACCCGCTATCGGGTCTTTAAGTAGGGGACCACACCGAGATTTCGGATGTTTTCTTTCTCCGAACTCGAGTGTCGGCTGTATCAGCCGAGGTCCATTTGCCGCGCGCGCTCGAAAACCAATTAATATGATACTACCGAGTGATTAGTGATTCGACGCATTTACACGATGTTTGTCGTTTCGTTTTTCTCTGGTGTTTATCGGCAACACTTTACTTCGATTCCGCCATTTCCAGAAATAATATTGCGTATGGTATCAGATTAATAAAAATGTTTTATTTTATTTTTAATGAACATTTGATAAATATATTCTTTTAAGATAATAATATTATAAAAGTATTATTATAAGATAAGCTTTCCTCCTACATGACACAATATGTTACCACCAGAGTCAGACATTTTTCGTGTAATTATTTAATTGAATTTGGCTTGTCTCTCAACTTAGATTATTATTAACGAAAAGACGATCGCGATCCTCTGGCATTCTTTGTAAGATTAAGTGGCATGTTATAAGCTTGTTTAACCGTGCGCGTCATCAATCTTACGACGCAGCAGTTTCAATTATAATTTAGGATAGAAAAATCCTCTGTATATTAATTTCTCATTTTTTTGCCGTCTTTATATTTTTCTTTACCGCCGCGTAAGGATAATTCTCGCCATCTCGTTATCTTTGTGCGAGAACGTGATGATGCTATGATACTTTAGCGTGCTATGATATCTAGCGACATATAGCCTTGAAGAAATGCCGACGAGGCAAATCGTGCTTCTTTCGCCTATTTCGTTTTACTCCATGAACATTATGCGTCAAAGAATTTTATTTGTCAGCAATGCATAATCTATTTCAGATTTCATCAATGAGCGCGTTTAAGTACTTATTTATACATATTTTAATTTTCTTATAAGGTGCTGTTTACACCGCTTATTTCTGGCAAACAGTTATTATTTTTTTCGTCTATTATTTGCAGATGCAACTTTTAGATTCCTCTCCATATTAAATGTACTAAAATTAACATATCGATTATTTTATTAGTGCATAAAATTTAAACAGTATATTTAATAATGTATAATGTATCCTAAAATAGCAAATTGAGACAGCGTTAGTTCAGAACGTCTGTCTGATCATTTTGTCGCGTGGAATCAAGTCGCGAGAGAAAATCAAAAGAATATCGAACGGTAGCAGTCTCGCGACGATTTATGGATCTCCTCCCACCGTCGTAGTCGCGGCGTGTCGGCGCTACCGCCTATCCTTTCCGTGAACAGCACCGCGATGCTATGCGGCAGCGCGCGGCGCGAGAGATGCCCGCGTCCATTTTCTTGCTTTTTCTCCGCGTGCGCGGACGCCAACGCGAATATAAATTATTGCGGACGATAGTCGGCGGAGGCAATCCCGACACAGGAACGACAAAGAAACATTCGCGCGGTACGTTAGAAATTATAAGCGTTTCACCGCAACCACGTCGATCGCCGATCTTCTTGCCGATGATTCCTGTTTTTTTCCATCACTCTCGAGCGCTCTTCCTTTCCGAGTCTCTCTCTTTTTTTTTTCTCCTCTCCCTCCGTTGATCCTGCGCTCGGTGAACCGGCCGCGATCGTACTTGTCACCGTTCCTCGTTCCACC